ATATTGTTATTGTAGTACTAAAGATATTGCTCACCCTAATGAAATTGTTTAAGAAATGGAGTTGTATGTTTAAGAGTTAATCATTCTGTTGAAAGAAAACTATGTTTCATTTGTATTGTGAAGTCTCATGACAAAATTATTAAAATAAAAAAAAAAATTGTTATGGAATTCTGGACATGGAATTATATAAATTTGAATAATATCACATTTCTTGACACTTTTTTTAAACGAAATGTCAAACTATTTCAGGAAAGCTTCAGAACTGTGCATGTTTTAAAACACATGAAGAGGTGTCAGAAATTCTGTGCAGCAGCCAGCATCTTTTTTTCGCCCATTTTCATTTGGAGACAAATATTTGAACCTTTTCGCAAATATCACTTGTATTTGCTTTTTGGCGGTTTCCCTAAATTGGCTAAACTTTAGGTAACTTTCACTCAAACAACTGAAATGTCGCACCACCACATAGACATTGCCTAGCCTTGTCACGAGTAATGTGGTTCAGAGTCAGACGACAAGTTTCAATAGTTTCAACTAAATTCATTGCGCAGCTTTGTTTTTTGGCCTTTTCTGGAAACATGTCCTTTAGAGGCATGCTCTTAAAAGCAAATTTAAGGAAATTTGTTAAAAACATAGCTTTCCTTCTATTTTGGTTGAAGATGGTTGACCTCCAACTGTGTAAATGTGAAATGAACATCCTCTTGTGTAATGTTACCGTGGTTACAGAATGTTGTTTTGTAGTGAGATGAGCTTTGTAAAGTTGGGGTGTTGTGGCCAGTTTGATTTGTTCTCTTAATTAAAGGAAGGATACCACCAGATTATGTATCACAATCTCGTTATGGAATGTACATATCAAAGTTATATTCTGAACCCTATTTGTATGTAACTACTTATTATCATTTTTCATTTGAAATAGTAATGTCTCTGACTTTACACCCATATCAAGCTTACTTACAGTGTCCATTACTGAGCCTTACCATGGCGGTGGGGTAGCCTAGTGGTTAAAGCATTCACTAGTCATGCCGTCATGGGTACAATATGTGAAGCTCATTTCTGGTGTCCCCATGCCCTGATATTGCTGCAATATTGCTAAAAGCAGCGTAAAACTAAACTCACTCACTACTGAGCCCCTAGTACAAGTTACAAGGTGTACTTGTTTGAATTTTGATATACGTTATTACTCACTGAAGTGCATGATTGTCTCAGCACTGTTTCATATCCCATTTCGTTCTTTCATTCTTGATAACAGTCGAAAATGTCTGGTTGGGTCATAATGGGTTTGAATATAAAATATGCCCTGATTGCATGTTAAACTTTCAAAAGGTGTTAAAAGGGATACATGGAGGCCATTTTCATATTTTATTCATCACAGAGGGAAATAATGTTTTAAGCAAATCACTATTTCGTTCCTGTTCCTGTGCTTTTTTCAGATGCACAATTTACTTGCCTTTGCATGTGTTTGTAACAGCTGCCACTGGTGGTGATATATTCTAAGTTGTTCAATGCACTCTAGGGAGGTGGGGTAGCCTAATGGCTAAAGTGTTCGCTCGTCACACCAAAGACCCAGGTTCGATTCCCAACATGTGCACAATGCGTGAAGCCCATTTCTGGAATTGCTGGAATATTGCTAAAACCATACTCACTCACTCACTTCATTTCCAATGCACTCTGCTTTTAGTAGAGATCACCTATGATTGTGTTGGGGTTTTTTCACTTTGATTTGATAATATTAAAGAAAATAATCTGTAAGGAGTGATATTCTGGTCCTGCACTGTGAAGGAATAATAATGATCTACATGTCACTGGAATTCATTATTAGAACAGAAACCACAAATATATAATATGTAATATATAATATATGACCCATGCCATGTTCAACATCTGCCCATTAACCTAATGAATGCATTGTGCCACAGCAGACATCAATATGAAACAATTGTTCCTTCAGTCGAAATTGACTTCTCATGTTTTATGTCAGAGTTGAAACACACACATAAAATGGCCACTTTGGCACTTGTTGCACCATATTGTATCATGTTAACTACAGTTAGCATGGCTCTATTTGATATATAGTATTTCAGGTAAACACCGCCGGTCTGTCACAGCGACAAATGACGATAATAGATTATTATGACCATTGGGCCTATTTCTAGATGGGTATTTATTTACCAAGCATGCATGTCAATATGGTTAAGCTAACAAGGCACGGAACTGCTAAAGGTTATAGTTGAGGAAGCATGTGTGCTTCAGTGATTGGTGTGTATATCAGTGTTACTACTGACACTGACATTTGACTGGACGGATATCATGTAAACAGGGGCCCTGCCAGGAGGTTCATGTCATGCACCTTGCACTGACCACCCAGGTGTGGGGATGTCTGTAGGCTGATCGCTATTGTGTAGGGCACTGTGTGGCATAAAGCATTTTCCAGGGTCACAATGGTTTGCTTTTCAGTAGATTCAGAAAGATTTAAAACAAAATGTGTTTCTTAAGATGTGGCTTTCATAAGTGTAGGTTTGGACTGTTTTGATGATAGTTTAGTTTTTTGTTATACTTGTGAGACTAATGCTTAGTCCCTGAATCTATATAATTTTGATAATAACAAATAAACCCATTTAAATTGAAAAGGAGCCCAAGTGAGTTAGGAGATTCAGCATGTGAACCTGAGATAATCTAGACTTGCTTCATTTAGGGCTTTAGCATTGCAGGGAGGGCTAGGCAGTAGGGAAAATAATGTGGTTCAGGGACTGTGAGACTGTATACTTGTGTAAGACACATTCTTTTCATTGTCATCCACTGTGAACTCTTTTTATTCTTTTAATGATGTAGATTCATTGTCACCCTTCTGAGATAAGAAGGGATAAGTACATTGTATACATATCCACTTTGGTTTGGTTATGAATAGTGAAGACAACATACATAAAATAAAATATGACTGTGAAACAGTATGATAATGGTGAAAGATATAATGTACCAGAATTGTCATCTTTGTGGAATCTTTCAGCCTGTTTCCCAAACCCCAAGAGAATAAATGTTTTAGGAGTCCTGCTCACGTCTAGATTGCCTCAGCTCCAAACGTTTAAGATACATGTAATTCTGGACTAGATAAATATGTCTTTTCTACATATGCAAATAAGACAGCTTTATTTCTGGAATTATATGTCAGTCTAGAAAACTTAACATTTTAGACATGATGTGCATAACTGATGTGATTTATGGCTGTGGTAAAGGATTCAGTTAGATTTACTTACATAGGTACTTCACTTGTCTCATTGTGTATAAAATACGGGGAGGTGGGGTAGCCTAGTGGTTAAAGCGTTGGCTCGTCATGCCGAAGACCCGGGTTCGAATCCCCACATGGGCACAATGTGTGAAGCCCATTTCTGGTGTCCCCCGCCGTGATGTTGCTGGAATATTGCTAAAAGCGGCGTAAAACCAAACTCAGTCAGTCAGTCAGTATAAAATACCTTTGATCGTACTCAGAACTGTTATTTATTAACTAAACTTGTTATTTTCGTTTTGTTGGTTTCAAAAGTCTGTGTACATGATGTAGCTCTATGACTCATGTTAATAATGATTTAGTTAGCCTTAAATTGTTCCATCGTCATGAACAAAATGGTTTTGGCTCAGAAACTCGCCTCAAAGTAGTCACTGGGTCTCAGGAATGTATACAATAGAACTGCTTCAATGTGTTCTGAACACCTTAAATATTTCAATTCAAGTAGCAGTAAAAACAAGCCTGAAGCTGCAGGTATGCCGCCAATGTTGAAGTGATTTTGCTGCTTCAGGTGGTGCCGAAGCAACGTGACGCCACCATACGCACCGAAGTGAATGTAACGAGTTTAAAGCTTTTCCGTGTTCTTCACATTTGGTTTGATGTGCTGTGGGAATCAAAGCTTTGATAACTGTACGGGATGAAGATGTTACAGCTTCTGCCTCATTTCATGCAGCGTGTTTGCAGCACCGTAATTAGCGATCAGTTGTCATAGTATGGTGGGAAGTATCAGTATTTTGAAGCATGAGAATATTGATTCACTGTTTTATTTCATTAGGAACTCGCCTGAGTTTTATTTAACTCAAAACACGACATGGAACTGAACGAAAAATGTTTTCAAATTTTATGCTGAACAAGCACTGAAGCAAGGTTATTTCATGCCTTGATGGGTCAATAGATAATATCATCAGGGGAAATTGTTGCAAGTGCGGCCTCTTAGAGACAGGAAGTAGGCACTGAGCAGACTGTGGTGGTTGACCACAGGAATCCACTATCACCGTGCAGTCCGGAATGTTCCATCAGTGGATGTGTGTCAGGACACCCACCTGTACCCACCTGTACCAGAGTGTGGATCGGCCCACACACTCACCAGGACATGGCAGAGTGGGCAGGTACACTTGCAATTAGGGAAGGGCAAAGACAAATGATTCTTGGTGGTTGTATCCTGAATGAATAAATACAGAACTATGGTGACAAAATGGAAAAGGGAGAAACAAATGATTGTGTAATGATTGAGGAAAATGAATGACTGAAAATGGTATTATGGCTGAAACAGATGTTTGAGTGAGTGAGGTTACTTGTAACAATATACCAGTTACACAACAGTGCTAGGCACATAGAATGGGTTTGAATTAATGTTAAAAATTCAACCAAGGTTATTTGGCATGATGAGCCAACATCCCTACTACTGGGCTACACTGCATTTGCCCAGTGATGAATATATAAACAAATGAATACGTGAAACAGTGTCAAAAGATGGCAGATGATGGTAGCCATTGAAAGATAAATAAGTAAAAACCTAATAAATTTATGAATAAACTGATAAGTAAATAATAAACTGGGAATTAAATAGTCATGCAGATAAAATCTTGTGATGTGAAACAAGACATTTCCACAATATCCTGACAGTGTACAAGGAGGATGTTGTACATTTATATATGACGTATGTTTTCAGTTAAACTGCGTTGTTTATTTGTCATGAGTGTAACGAATATGTTATTTGTTTCAGGCGTCACGGAAAGTGTCAAAATGCGGATACTTGTTTGTGTCTCCAGGCTTCGACTTCAACAACCCCCTTGACAGAACTAGGGTAAGCCGCTTCACACAATTTACCCAGCTAAACAAATGTGTGTTACATACAGGAATAATGACTTTGACTCAAGGGTGTCAGGTCATATTTATTACACGTTTATATACCTCATATTCTTCATCTTCATAGGGTGTCCTGGCTGTGATTGGTTGCTGGTAGTTATTTCAAGTGCAATATAGATTTATTCAATGCTTTCAAGATCAATACCCTTCATTGTGACTAAAATGGAAAAATAACAAACTTTAGTTTAATATTCTCTGACAATTACCAATGATTATTTGTATCACTGAAAATTTAGGTTGTTGTGTAATTGATTTTCCAAGTTTTATAAATATTTTAATATTACTTTGAAAAACTGTTGATCATTCAAAATAGGCCTATCAAGGGATTGAGAAGTAATGGGAATGTATGTGAACAGCAAACTAAACTATCAACAACCAACAGATTATGACAAACATTTGGGAAACGAAGTGTGTTGTGAACATATATTAAATTGGGAAGAATTCCTCAACTATGTCAAAATTAATTGAAAATGTATCATAAATTGTCTGTTTGGTTCTGAGAACTTTAACATTTTCTCACAGATATGTAATCACTAACACTATGGGGGTTGAAGGTAATCTGTGGCCAACACTAGCCATCCATGAGAGTAGTTTTTAAACTTTGTGAACTTGTTTAAGTTCTACCAGGTCTGTTTTGGATTATGTTAAATTTATTGTACAGCACCAAAAAACATGATGTTATTTTGTACTCTTAGAAACAGGAGCCATGCTTTCCTTATTAAAGTTCACTCCATATGTTCCACAAACCAATATTATTTTATACCACGCGACCAGCTAAATAACTGTATGCTGACAGGATCAACTCCTCAAGTTGATGATAAACAGTTGGCCATGTTATCTGGCACGATTACCTGTCTGACATGCAGATGTGCCTTGTAGATCTACATGGTGCAGTTCCTACAGGGCTGCAGTCTACATGGCTAGCTGACTGCTTTATGTAGGGGAGAGATAAACCCTATATGTCATGGCTGTACCCTCTTAGATGTAACGAAGTATCATTGTAGGGGTTAAGATGAAATGGGAACATTAAGAGATGTTTTCCTTATACCAACTGTGTAGATACACCTTGTCTCCTTCCGTTCTGTGATAAGCATTCAATGATAAGCATAAATCTGTTCGGAGTCATTACTCTTAGAGACCTTGAGTTATCTTTTTGCTACGATTAGCGTGTATGTCGGTGTGAAGAGTTACGACATTGCCCTTTGGTCACTTTGAACAGGGTTACCCCTTTCATGACCATGTCAGTGTATTGAAGATAAGAGGATCATCGCACTCATATTACTTGTCCCATAGGCAAGGCTGTTGCTATGATTTTGTAATTCATATTCTTTAACATGAAGTGAATAAGTGACATTAAGTTGCGAGAGGGTAGTTGGGTGGCTTGAGACTTCAGAGTTTCCTGAGCTTCAGTACTACACCACATTGTAGCTCATTTGGGGTCTCGTTTGGCAAGTGACTGTTCGAAATAACTCTCATCCAGCAGTGAATGGGTACCAAGTAGGATGAGAGGGTAGTTTTGATTTAATACTTCCCAGGAAGATGACAATGAAATTCAAGTGCATGCTGATCCTTTGCCTAGGGAATAATGCAGTGCTTTGAGCATCCTTTGGATTGTAGATTAGGCGGAGCAAAAATTTGCATATCATTATGATCGGCGTGCCTGTTTTCGTGGTTTTCACCAAAGTCAACACCCATCCTATTTTCATTTAAATAAAATCATTTGAACTTAGAAAAAGTACTTTTGATATGTTTAAAAGTTAAATACACAGAATATATACCAGAGAACATCCTCAATATGACATTTGAATTGTCTCCCCTTCTTCCGAAACATACTCCAAATACATGTTAACATATGTCTGTCCGCTAATGCAAGGTCCATTCTTTGTCTAGAGTGAAGATCCTGTCGAAAATACATCCAGAACAGTGGATGCTGGTTGATTTTACATTACATTAATTTTTATATTGAAATAAGCACTCCTGAATCTTTTGACATGATCCATGGTCTAACACAAGAACATCATGGCTGATTGTCTTTGATGTACTTTGCCTTTCACCTATAAATTACTTATGTCAGACACATATGTTTACTTATCAAAATGAAGGTGCTGCCATCTTTTCTGAAATGTTTACGTACAGCATGTCATATCGTCTCTGACAATTTCCTTTAGTAATCTTGGGTATGTTTTAGAGTACATGTGTTAACAGGAGAGGTAGTGTTGTATCTTTTTCCTCCATAAAATAGATGGACACTGTCAGAATGTTATGTGTATTATAAACAAGTGTTTCATAGACATGACTATTTGTTTACAAATATAATTGGCAGGTTTACTTTCTGCAATATTTCAAGTAAAATGACAAAAATGCAACAGAATATATTTGCAAGAATGCCATCTTGTCTGTCTGCTAACACATATGTAACACATGCAGTGAATGCTGATTTGAAGTAACCTTTGTTAGCTGAAAAAAAAATGCCATTGAAAATTCAAAGTTTCCAGATTTCCAAATATTTTTACAGAAATATCTTTCGGGAAATAATTCTGTGTGTGTATGCAGCATTCTATGGTATAGGACCACAATTGTCTATGTAGGGTTGCCTCCCTTTGTTGTGTTAAGATCTGCTTATACAGATATTTCTTTGGTCTGTCACCAGAAAATGAACCACAAATGCAGTCTGTATAGTTAGAAAATGTCTTGAAACTAATCAGATCTGCTGAACTTAACAGTGTTTCTCATAACAAAGGATTATTGCTTTTTGACACTCATGTCATCAATGAAACATTTAAGAGAACTAGAGTTATTGATTGTGAAACATGTGTGATACACTACAATCTAAATGGTCCTAAAATCATAATTTCTTTTGTAGAAATAATTTTCAACATCAAAAGATAAAATTGGAACAAGTTCTAAACATTGGTCCATCATCAGTTGATGAAATGTGGTGTAGTGCTTGAACAGTTAGTCAAATCAAATACTTGACTGCTGTTTATGTACTGGCAAAACCACATTGCATTTTGGCTATTTGTAATTTCAAAAAGGAAGTCATTACCATTTTTTACACAAATTACTTCAACAAAAACAAGTGAGTGATGAATGTTCTCTGATATTAAGGGCAGTATGAAACAACCCAGAGGCAAATACACATTCTTCAAGTCATTTTACTTGTGAACTACAATCTACAGGAACAAAATTTCTGTTGTCATAATTTTGTGAACAACTAGCTTTATCTCATATCATCAATATTTGATAGTGATGCAGAAAAAGATTCTTATGATTTAGCTGGAATTGTGCTTTGCTAGAGTGTCTTATAATTGTGGAAATACAAATGCATTTTGAAAAATGTTTGTTTGGTAATATGTCATAATATTGGCCCATAAACGTAGGTTTGTATGCAGAGGTGAATTCTTTAGCAATGGTAAATATTGCAGATTTGACAGCTATATGAATAATTTTATTTCATTGTTGTTTTTAAAGAAGCTGCCAGTGAAAAAATATGCATTTGTTCGTGAATCAGTGTCAAACAATGATGATATCAGGTGTTTGATGCAGGTCAGGATATCCTGCCCCATGGATAGCAGCTATCATAAACACATGCAAGGACAAGTCAGTTTTAAGTGACACTTCCTGTAACTTGCTCTTGCAGAAATCAGGCAAACTTGTCATTTTGGAATATGCTGAAACCATCTCTAGTGTTAGCTTTACACCCACTTGCCCCTATATGTATACTGATATATAGTATATCCTACCAACCAGGTTTAACCTATTGGATTATATGAATAGTTTATGAAGCCGTTTCAAGACTTAGAGAATAGATACTGACACTGGATGTGTTCGAGTATCTTATCACTCTTAACTGAAGAAGTAAGCTGTGAATGAAATCTAGACAAGTTGGCCACCCATTGTGGATATGATATGTCTGACATACGACAAGGGTAATGATATAGCTAGTGTTGGCTTCTTGCCATTAATTATTTAACGACTCTTCTGGAAACAACTGTTTTTGAAAAATAGACTAGTTTAACCTTTAAAATTTTGTATTTCATAATGTAGCATTATTTCTGAAAAAAAAAAGAATACATATGAGGCTCACAATATTTATCACAGGATTGTCTGGTCCAGACTATAAACTATAAAGCAGGAATATTGCTGAGTGTGGCAATAAAGTAACAAACACATGCACCAACACTGAAGTGGAACCAACAATACAAGTCAAGCCCATCAATTGTTTCCTGTATAAGTGGATGTTTATATATCGGACATCCTGACGTTATCTACTTGAAATTAACATCTGTCAGAAAGTGATTCTTGGTGACCATACCCCCATACTTTACAGGAAGTAACAAGCAGTTCATCCAGGTTGATTGCTTCTTGCAGCTCTGAACATGGGTGTAAAAATAATTTATACTGATTTGAACAGATGATGTTTGCTATGCGCAAATGCATTTCTACATTAAATGTAATTGGTGGCAGGTTTTCAGGATAAACAGATTAAGAGTAGAACCAAATGAGATGTTCGCGATAGATTTCAGTGTGATAAATATTTAAAAAAAATATGTTTGAACAGCTGTAATGAACACAGTATATCAATGATGTTGCACACATGACTTGATCTCTAGTAAATGGTGTTTTTAGTGTCTGTGAATGAAATATAAATCATATCAAGCACATCACTCACTCACTCACTCACTATCTTACTATCTCACTCACCACTCACTCACTCACTCACTCACTATCTCACTCTCTCATGCATATTGTTACATATGTGAAGTAATTCTTTGTTTAATGCCCTTCTCGGCAATGTTTCAGCTTTAGGATGGTGATCTGTAAATAACTGCATCTAGACCAGACAATCCAGTGATTGACACCAAGAGTAAAAATGTATGCATTTAGGATAAAATGACAAACATTAACAAAGTACGAGATCCTGACCACTAGATGCGGTTTATGACCTAGCTTGGTTTGCTGAAAACAGTTTCTAACCCTACAGTTGACCCTGTTTTATCACAACTTCAACACAACAATCCTGTTTAAGTCAATTCTTATTCCTTTTCCCCAAGATTTTGTCATTTTGAAATTTAACAATAAGCCAAATTGTTTAGAAATTGTGAAATTGTTGTCTAAACATTACTCCCTCATTTTAGTCACCTTTACATCTCTTTCATCGCACCACCAGCTTGTCATTGACATATTGACTGAGATGACCATCAACAAAATATTAGATTATTTTTAGAAGCAATAAAAATTCCAATGAAGCATTCATCCTACTTTGGACATACTGATCATTCCATCACTATGAGGCTGCTAAGCTGAGTGCCTGATTTCATGCTTGTGGAGGTGGATGTTTAGAAATATTTGGCTTAATAGCCTGAAGTGTGCTTCGTTTATCTTGAATTATGGCAAAGTTTCAGAATTGATGCCATGAGGCATTGCCTGACCTATTGTCCTCAGGTTTTTGTACAGGTTAGATGGTGGAGATAGTCAGTCTTGGGTTCTTGCTTCACAACTTTGTGGCATGCGCTGGGGCTAAAGGTCTAACGATTTCATCTCTAGCTTTTAGGCTGCCTGTTTTCTTCAGCCAGACTATGTAAAAATGTTTAAGACCACTTTTTTTATGGAAATGTTTCCCCAGATTTTTTTTTCTTTCTCAAAAAGTATATTTCTAATGTTGTAATGAAGTTGATGTGCAATGTTATGGTTATATGAAAATATGGACAAGACAATTCATTTAGTGTTAACATAAACTGAATATACTATACGGATACAAATTAAATACAGATAATCATTTTATATATAATAATTTGTTAGTATTTTCTTTGGTACTGTGAGGTGAATTTGAATTTGTTTTCGACTTACCTTTACATGTTTCTGTGATGGGCACCACCTGTTGGGCAAATGTTTCACCAATTTCTGAACACCTTTCCATGGTGATTCATAAACACATGCTTATGATATGGTTGGAATCATGCAATGGACATCATACAGTAATGTAAAAATTCTTCATGATTATGGGGGGCGGTGGGGTAGCCTAGTGGTTAAAGCGTTGGCTCGTCACGCCGAAGACCGGGTTCGAATCCCCACATGGGTACATTGTGTGAAGCCCATTTCTGGTGTTCCCTGCTGTGATGTTGCTGGAATATTGCTAAAAGCGGCGTAAAGCCAAACTCACTCACTCACTTACTCACTCATGATTATGGAAATGGTATTCGTCTTGTTTATTTCCTCCTCTAGACATGTAAAGACCAAGATACGAACTCATTTCTAGCTTTTAAATGCCAAATTATAGAACCGAGGTGAACATTTTTTCATAATATGCCATTAAGGTTATTAATGGACTTATTGCCATGCCCCCACAGGATGTTATTAAGTTATTCACCCAGCTAGTAACACCATATATTACAGCTGACAGGCAGTAAATGTACATCAGTGCATATTTCAACAGCTGATATAAATAACCTGAGACACACATTCTCTTGCCAAGTTCCCATTTGTTTTCTTACCTGCTTTCCATATATAATTCATTGCATAATGGTTTAAGTAGGTAGTGATACACCGTCTGGGGATTTGTCAACATAACCAGCATGCCATTGTAAAGTATACCAAATCATTTCTCTAGATAGTTATCGCTTCAGTCTTTTGTTTCTTTGTCTTGATTCTTGGTTCTCAGCCATTTTGATGGGATGGCCAAATGTCTCATAAAAACTTCAGTACCATCTTCTGTTGGTGCTTTGGCATCGGTATGCCAAGGTAGATTCTTTTAGCATAGGCAACAAGCAGGGGTTGTTATGAGGGTTCTGTGAGATGGTTAATGGCGTCATCTGTATCCATTATGGCCAAATGAAAGCAATCTGTCAGGAAGCAGCTGTGTGGATGTCAATAAATGACATCACAGTGGTAATTGATTATAGTGCTGAACAGGGATAGATGTTGAGTGTCTTTGAAGAGCAGTTGATATACCTGCTTGTTCATATTGCTCAATTAACACAACATCAACTCTCGTTTGATTAGAGCTAAGGGACATATTTTTGGAGTGACAGATCTTATGAATATATTTCTACTTTTAAGTATCCTTGAATAAAACATGAGTGAAGTAGTTAATATAGACTTAAGCAGAAATTAATAATTTCATTTTTCAACAAAGATTGACTCTCTTCTGGGACAATGACTGAGGTTCACATAATCTGGAAAGAAACCAAATCCTCAACTTGCTAACATTTATTTCAGTTTTGTCTACAGTATTTCTTACCCATTTTATTTTGTAAAGTTTCAGCATTTAAAATGCTTAAGGAAGTACAGTCAAACATATTCAGTATACCTTGATTTAATATATATAAATTTGAAACTGAAGTTTCACATGGGAAGTTGTTTCAACACCAATGCTTTCACACAGAACAATTAATGTAATTTATATCAGAATTCAGAATCACTTAAAAACAATCTTAAGTCTGCTTTCTAAATTTTATCTTCTCTTTGTTCGCTTTCTTAACAAAGCTAAGACATCGTTCATAGTTGCTAATAAATGGTGTTATTTGTCAAACAACTAAAACATCTGCGTATTTCAATTACTTGAAGACAAGTATTCTACAGTTCACAGAGTTTGTAAAATATTCACTCTCTTTGACTTATACACCAACTCCTTTGTTCATGCAACAAAGAAAACAGCCACAAACAAATTCCTTTTAGGTTCAATTTGTTTTTAAGATTCAGAAGAATTTCAAAAAAGACTCCTTTCCTATTCCTAATGCATTATTCCTTACAACTTTAAGTAGTATTTAACTTGTATCGGGATATATCGTCTCTTGTGGCGATACATTGATGTATCATGGACCCTCTCATGCAAATATCCTGATATATTGCCTAAGTGTGTTTTATATCGATGCACTTGTATCGTGTAGTTGACGATGTAAACATTGATACTATCGATGAATAGTTACACCACTACAGAATGCTACATGTATTTCATTGAAACGTAAAGTTCAATATATTTTCTAAATCCAGCGCCTTGAGCATGCACTAGTGCATGGATATGTGCGCTATATAGATATCCAATAATAATAAAAAATAAATAAAATAATAAATCAGCTCGGGGCAGTGGGGTAACCTTGTGGTTGAAGTGTTCGCTCATCACGCTGAAGACCTGGGTTCGATTCCCCACGTAGGTACAATGTGTGAAGCTTATTTCTGGTGTCACTCGCCGTGATATTACTGGAATATTGCTAAAGCAGCATAAAACTTAACCCACTCACTCTAAATCAGCTCAGTACCAAAAGTGCAGAAAAGCAAATCTGCTTGTTTATGATTAATGATTCTCATCCTCAACACAGGCCATTCTGATTAAAGTTTTATATTGGCCATGCATGTTATGTAGATACCTTGTCATCAGTAATACGTGTTATCACACTCTTACAAGACCATCACAGCCGTTATCAGCAGCCGATATCCTCTCCGTTTCTTCTAGCGATAACAGTGTAGGGCTACTGAAGGCTTACATCATCTGTACATGGAGTTCCTGTCTTGTCAGTGTAATGTGCTGTTGATGATAACTGCTTTGGTCTGGAGTGACATGGCAGATTAAGTCCTACATAGTGCATTAAGAGAAATCTTGGTCATGGTTTTGACAGGTTCCTGGGAAATAGGCATCACTTTGCATTAAGATAAATGTCAGAAGAGCAAGCTTGGTCCCCATTTTAACATAATGGAGGAAGGTGCCCATTGAAAATAAAACATCTCCGTTTAGATTAAATTAAACAAAAACATGGAAAGATATTTTGGCAGGGTCAGTGGCGGAATGTTTGTTATGTCAATACTTCAAAATAAGCTCAGGACAGGGACATTGATGAATTTCTGTGATTGATTGATAATTACTTCAGTTTGACACCAATCAATAGGTATTGATGAGGCCATTAACTTAAGTTGGATGCTCTTAATTTATGGAGAAGTCATATGAGTGAGTGAGTGAGTTGGTTTTCACACTGTGTTTGCAATATTCTTGCAATATCACGGTGGGGGACACCAGAAATGGGCTTCACACTTTGTACCATTGTGGAGAATTGTACCCGGATCTTCCGTGTGATGAGCGAACACTTGAACCACTGGGCCACCCCACCTCCCCATATGTGCATGAAGGGGAGAGGGATGTTATTTTCTGAGTTATTATTGTGGGATCAACTTTAAGCTATTGCTGTGTCACCATGTCTGCCAAAATATATTGTAACAAGCCTAAAAGTATTTTATTTTTTTAGCCTGCCATATATGATTTGACATGAAAAAGAAAGACCTGTTCTTGTTGTAATTGTTTTGGTTAGTTTGTATTCAAATAAGGTGTAACATGTCAAATAGTGTGGGAGTTAGATTCAGCTGAAGAAAAGATATGCAGAAGACTCCACGGGTGACCAGCAGTCTGCCATACAGACCCCAAACAAATATACCAATACAACCCACACAAGTCTTAGATTTCTGCCCCCTGGGCCCCTATTTATTAGATGTTATTGAAATAGTTTATGAAGTGTTTTTTCTCTCTGTAAAATTATGTTTATTTCAGATACAAGATTTTAGTGTAGATGAGCAGCATCAGATAGTTCAATTTTACTTGTAACAAAGATATTGCATGTGGATTAATTATACTAACCTCAATAATTTTACTTTGACAAATAAAATCCCAAGTGTTTTTTGTAAGTGTGCAGTAAATGTGTCAGTTATTGCCAAAATTAACTCTTCCTCCTTTTCCCTGTTTTCCAGAGATGGCAGAGACGATTCTTTGTGTTGTACGATGATGCCGAGCTCACCTGGTCTGTGGATGATAATGTGAGTACAGATGCAAACTATTCATTTTTTTCTATCCTGCAAATGCTTTTATGATTTTATGGCATGTCCGTATAGAATTCTCATTTTGATGTGCATCTTGATTCTCTGACATCTTAACATTATTACTGTATCAAAAATTTTATTCCTTAGCCAAAGAAATGTTTATGAAACAATATACCACTCAAAAGACGTTAACGAACATCTGGTTCTTTCATACAGTTAATGTCATGGCAATTCCTGCATCTGTGAAAACGTGATTCTTTCATCTTATTTAATAGAAATATGAAAGAATAATGTTTTCACAGATGGCATGACAGAATAACTGTAGTTATGTGAAAGAATTGAGTATTCCTTAGCTTCTTTTGAGTAGTATATATACTCAAGATTCAGGGCGGTAGGGTAGCCTAATGGTTAAAGCGTTCGCTCATCACGCCGAAGACCTGGGTTCGATTCCCCACATGGGTACAATTCGTTAAGCCCATTTCCCGTGTCCCCCGCTGTGATATTGCTGGAACATTGCTAAAGGCGTTGTAAAAACCAAAACTCACTCACTCACTCAAGGTGAATGTTTCATGTGAGCACATGATACCTATTATTAGAATGGCAAAATTTGCTAATATTCAAACCGTCTTCCAGGTTTAATCATGAGAAAGTTGGATAGTGTTTCTGGCTTTTAGTTAATTTTGATTATATTTGTCTGAAGGTGGAAGGATTAAGTTGTAATGTTATGTTGCAGCCTGACACAGTACCGCAGGGCACTATCGACATGAACAAGTGCTCCGATGTCCAGGAAGCAGAGAAGGTGACTGGCCACATCAACTCCGTGTCTGTCATGACCCCAGAGAAGACCATCTACATCAAGGGAGAGTCGAAAGAAGAGTCACAATGGTAGGTGTAGTCTCTGGCACTAGCCTTCAGACAGTCTGGTGTGAATGTTCCCGCCTTTCTTTGTCATGGATGTTGTTAAGGTTGTGTAAGTTGTTGCACTGGTGTGCTTGATTGTGGACAGTGTGTGGTGTGAATTTCCCTTTTCATCCATTTTTTGTCACAATGGTAGTGGTCTACTTGCTTGTGGACATATACAACCAGCAATCTTCTCATCTTTGTTTGTCACAGATGATACTATGGTTGTGTAAACTGTAGCACTGTTGCTTGACAGATGTGGACAGATTGCATATTCCTTTCAGATCTTAACGTTTCTCTGTGATAGTGGTAGGTAGGTGCTGGTCTGTTCAGTTTTTGACAGATTTTTATGTGATCAGTTCATCAATTCCTTGTCACAGTGATAGGGTATGTGCTCCGTGAACTCTTGGACAATATGTCCCTTGGCCACCCTCAGAAACATTATGGATTCGGGGTGAGAATAAGTTCCTAGTAAATCATGTCTGGGCAAGGCAAATGAGTGGTTGACATCAAGAACACACAGTTTGTCAGGTGAGGTGAAATTGGGTTTTACGTTGTGCTTGAGAATATTTCGCTCATATGACGACGTGCATGCGTGTGTATGTGTATGTGTATGTGTATGTGTATGTGCGGCTGCTTGTACTAGCCCAGACTTAAGCTGGTTTTATAGTGCTAGCCTACTAAGATACCATGCCGCAGTGAAGCATGAATACCCCACTCAGACACATTATACTGACTCCGAGCGTTCTTGTTGTACCCACTAATGCCGAGCGCCAGGCAGGGACCAACAAGTACCATATTTTAACGTCTTTTGGTATGACGCGGTTGTGGATCGAACCCGCGACCTTCCGCTCTCCGGGCGGACGCTCTAACCACTACACCACGGAGGCGGTCAGTTTATCAGGTTCTCATGTTAATCACTTCAATTGATAAACATGAGGTGTTGGAAACCTATGTATTAAATCATTCCGAAAATGTCAGTTGTATCCAGGTGAAGGTTAACCCAAACATGTCTCATTCTCTGTCAGTGGGAAAGCCTCCTAAAGGCAAGGACGTCCAATGTGCTAAGCATGCAGGTCAGGGTATTAATGATAACTGGTAAAGCTGTCCGACACCACAGGGCTGTAGTAGGTCTGTTGGTGTCTCGCCTGCTTGTTTATGACAGAGACTGTACAGATGAAGACATGACCTCATATCTAGTTAATGGATATCACACATCTTGGCACTTTTGCCCTTCTGCAGAGACTTGGCTCCTGTCTATAAAACACAAACACTATTCAGTGCAACATTAGGTGTATCTTATGTCAGGGAACCAGTTTATCTCTTTTCTGGAACTTTTTTTCTCTCTTGGTGTAAGACGGAACTCAGTCGTAGAGTTTGATGTTGTCATCATGATTCTGCTTGTATTACTTTTCTTCCTTCAAAAGTTTATGTTCAACTTACTGTGGGGTCTTTCATCAAAACCATCAGTTAGGTGATGTTGAATTTAAAAAAAAATATGAATAGAGCTTTCAGTGTTATATTTTTTATGTAATAAAAACCTACTGAGAACAAATGGTCCTTTGTCTGAAAGAAAATGTATTATATTTGCATGGTGTATTTTGTTGCTTGATTGCATGTTTGAAAAAATCTCTATCAAAAACTATATCATAAAAAATGAAATATAATTTTGAAGAGGGGGACTTTAAGTGTTTATATGAAATAATGATATGTATTTCGTTTGAAGTGGGAAAGGTTAAACACTGAATAAATCTATACAATTAAACTGTTTTGAGCAGGTTAGGGCGTTGTGAAAATGAAAAGGTTGTGTTTCTAAAGTACAAATGGGGATGTAATCATCTGCTTTACTGGAGCTGCTCAACAGTGCTGGGAAAAAGGGTATCACCGTATGGCACCAGTCACGATCTTTATCACCTGTTTTTTTCAGCTCCCATTTCGGCCGTAGATTATCTTTTGCTTTTACTGAAAGAAAACTATGAAAATGGCTGCTTGTAGACATCTTGATAGTCAGAGATGCAGATGATTGTGTGTGATGATTCAGAGGGGTGAGTTAGCTTGCACCATGCCATGAGGCTGTGTATTTTTAGTTGGTTTCAACTCACACAAACAGAAAATCCACTGAAATAAACTATCACCTCCTTTCATTAGAAATGGTGAATAATGCAGTAATCAAATGGCATAACGAACCCAAAGAGACCTCTAATTAGTTTGTTATAACTGTAGTTTGTTGTATATGTTTTGATTAATATATACAGAAAATGGTCTCCTTCTATCATATATTAAGACAATTTGAAAATATGATCTTTAAAATGTGTTTAATTTGGAAACTACATTTCAGGATAGAGAACATGACATATGTTACCTGTAGTTTTAAAATAAATGCAATGTGGGTCTTCAACTTCAATGATGATTTGGCATTCGCTCGTTACGCCATGGACCCGGGTTCGATTCACCGCGTGGGTACAATGTGTGAAGCCCATTTCTGGTGATCCCTGCCGTGATATTGCTGGAATATTGCTAAAAGGTGATGCAAAACCTCACTCCTCACTCACTCACTCACTCCCTCACTCACTGAATGATAATTTGGATTCTTCCATGACCAAGAAGTTCATGTATCAAGCAACTGTAGGTTGGAGTCAGTGAGGCCTTCACTGTATGTTGTAGGCTCCATTTTTAATTAACTGATTCACATAAGTATCATGTCGGTGGAGGAACGATTTTTTAAATTCATGCTTTCAATATATATTGAAATATTAGATAAGTGAAGAATAAATTTTGCATTCTCTTCTGGTGTAGGGGCAGTGGGGTAGCCAAGTGGTTAAAGCATTTGCTCATCATTGACCTGGGTTCAATTCCCCACATGGGTACAGTGTGTGAAGACTATTTTTGGTGTCCCCCATCCCGATATTGCAAAAGCGGCGTTAAACTATACTCACTCTGACTCTACTGTTTCCATAGTTTTTTGATGAAGTTATTAATTTAACCAGGTTAGTAGTTTATCATTGAAATTGATACTGATACCAAGATAAGAATTATCACCTATCAGACTGAATGAACAGTTAAATAAGAACTTGAAGACGAACATGAACAGTAGGGTAAATATCTTTGTCTCAGATGAGTTTGGATAAAATACCAAACATATTTTAATAATTACTCATTGGTTTCGGAAGTTTTTCTGTTGTTACAATGAACATTAGAAGAACGTCAGTGACAACAGATTGCCATACTGTATTCTGCTGAACATGTTTGAATAGTTTTATTCAGATCTGTATAATTGAAACTGTAGGGTTCATATGCTTGTCACACATTAGTTTTGATAAAGTACCAAACATATTTACAACATTAGTGTTTTTGTTTTCACAACCGGGTAATAGTGTTGTGTTGTAGTGAATGCGTTCTCTGCCGAACGTGCTGCAATATTTTTATTCTGATGGCCTGTATAATTGATTCTGTGTTTAGTTGAGGACTAAGAAGTTGAGGCGTACACACTTTGTGTCTGTCATGCATGGTGGACGTATTTAATGGACCTGCTGGGTTCATGGCTAGGTTGCTTTAGAAATTGTTTTGATCACAGAGCATGGGAAAGTTGGATGTGGATTTCATGAACTGCGTTTGAAGACATGTTTTTGACTGTAAATCAGCTGGATGCGCCCTCATTTTTATCGAGAATTATTATTGCATTAACTGTCGCCCTGTGGAGAAGAGGGTTTAGTGTCGGTCCCCAGCAGTCATTAATGGATCAGGTAGTTAGGGCTAGTAATGGCGTGAATGGTTGCTCATTATGTCAATCACTGGATTGGCTGGTGGCTGGAACATTGCTGAGTACAATCGGAAACAACAAAATAATAAGTAAATCAAATTTTAAAATTAATTATGTTTGATGTAACTACTTTAAGATCTGTGCATGGATATTTAAATATTGTCAGTTTCTGAAGGTAAAAGAAACAAGTTCATCCATGTTGGTTTCCAAGATGAAAACAGAAATCGAAAATAAACATGGAGTAGGGTTGGTTTTTGGGTTGTTATTATTTAGGGAGTAAGGTGTTATCATGGGGGTAGAGCTGGGTAGGGAAGTAGGGGTGAGTGTGGAAAGCAGGATTTTGCTCTGATGGGTATAGCATTTTGTTGGAGTAGGACTTTATATGTCTAAGGTTTTGTTTTGAGGGTATGGTTTTGTTATGGCAGAAATTTTGGGTGTCCTCCAGTTTTGGGTCAGTTTTATGGTATATCCTGATCAGTATTTATTACACATATGCGCCTTATTCAAATTCAAATTAAGTCAGTTGACAAGAAAAAACAGTGGAAGGTCAAGTGCTGGTTGACACAGTCAGATACACCCACAACCCTCTCCACCCCCACACCCCTCCAACCTCCACACACCCCATACACACATGCGCCTTATCGATACATCAAATTCAAATTCAAAATACGTCAGTTGACAAGAAAACACTTTGTAAGGTGTAGTGATGCATGGCTGATAGTCTATTATCAATTTACTTGTCGGTGATAGAAACCCTCCCATCGAGATCACTTCAAAGCCTGACTGTGATCACATCGCACATGCCCTGTGGTCTGGATGTACAGAATCTCCCACAAATCCACTCACTGTTTTTAGGGGGGCAAACACTGCAGGGGACCAGCTTTTATCAATCTCTCTGATAACCTAGTTGAATGCATTACCTGTTTGTTTGATTTTCTGTATCAACATTTTCACACCCCACTAGCAAAAAGTACTTGGGACAGAGTGACAGTTGAATTTTTATCAGCTTTTAAAATTCAAACTTTATCTTTGTTGAGACTGCAGTTTCCTTCGACAAAGGGTCAGTAGGTTGTGGTTATTGTCGTGTTGTTTACTTTGGTGGAGCTAATGGGTTTACAGCATGTTTGAATGTTGATTGTATGAGTTTTCTCTTCCAAATCTCGGGAAACTTATAAAATGTAGACGTTATTGAGTCATGTTGTCAAATATTTCAAATATGTAACTA